GAACCTTAAAAAAAAAAAAAAAAAAAAAAAAAAGGTCCCTAGCAACCCAGACGGTGTGGGGAAGGCACCGCTCCAGTCCCGGATCAAACCGTACCGGACGAAAGAGTCCCGGACTGTACCCCGTATGGTCCGGTCCGGTCCGGGGGGAGGGTGCCGCACGCAGACAAGCGGACTAGACCGGATGCTCGTCTGGTCCGTCTGCTTGCAACTATGATATGTATATATATATGACTCAAAATCATTTACAATAAATGCAGTTACCGGTGGGGGAATGCAGAGCATGCCACTCTGGCATTTTTCTGGAACATCCACAATGGTCTGATCTGCAATCATTCTGGCAAAAAAAAAAAAAAAGACATAGGAGCTAGACTACTAGAGTGGCCCAAACCACTTGCCGGGCCAAAAACAAATAAAAATATAAATATATTATATATCCTACCCCTTAAGCGCGGTGGGCCCGCGGGGGGAGGTCGTGTTCCACTGCGCGCTGAAATCGACCCGAAGTTTTGATTCGGGCCGGCGGATGAAGGCGATCGAGGGAGGGGCGTTGTGCAGAGTGGCGCGCATACCGAATCGTTCACAGCGCGCCACTAAACGAGAGAGCGCGCCTACGGGGCCGGGTAGACGGCGGGCGTCGATGTGCATTAATATCTGAACGCGCCCGCCGTCAGATCGCAAGAAAGTGTCGTTTCGTGCCCCGACCCCTTTTTTTTTTTTTTTTTTTATTTTTTTTTTTTTTTTTTTTTTTTTTTTTTTTTTTTTGGCCTGTTGTTTCCTGTTTTTCGTTATTTATTTCCTTCCTTGAATTCGTTTTTTTTTTTCTTTCTTTAATTCGTTTTCGTTATTCTTTATTCGTTTTGTCTCCTGGTCAGCGTGTCATTTTGGCGGCAAGCGCCGGCAAAAGGAAGTGGGGTGGCGGGTGCGTTGCAGGCAGTGACCCACCTCCACCCTCAGACGCCCACCCCCGCCCCCCACACAGTGGGTGAGTTCCACCCACACACACACACACACATTAATATTTTGAAGTTTGTTATCAATAGTCGTTGTTGGGGGTTGAACCCACGCACAAATTTGAAATACGCAACTGCCCTAACCACACAGGTGGATTGGGTCCCTGTGTGGTTTTGGGGACTGCTTCTTTTTTAAGTGTATCCGTCGTCAGGCAGCTGACAGGTCAGAATGTGCCTGTGTGTCCAAACCCTAACATGTGTCTGAACCGTAGCTGGCCTGTATGGAGGGGCGACGACCGTTCGTCACCGGCGGGTCCAATCCCGCCATTTGCAAGCGGCAACTTTGTCGACGTTTTGTGCTCAGATAAATTCATCAAAATGTCTGCAAATTTGAGGGTCCGTAGGTTAGGTCCTGATCTTTCAGGGAAAAATATTACAAAAAATAAAATAAAATCATTTTGACCATGAAATATTCGCCGCGCCGATTTGCTGCTTTTCCAACCGGCGGTTCAAATCCCGCCATTTGCAATAGGCAACTTTGCCGATTTTTTGTGCTCAGAATAATTCATCAAAATGTCGGCAAATTTGAGGGTCCATAGGTTAGGTCGTGATCTTTCAAGGAAAAATATTTATAAAAAAAATAAAATCATTTTGACGTGAAATTTTCGCCGCGCCGATTTGGTGCATTTCCAACCGGTGGGCCAAATCCCTTTTTTTTTTTTTTTTTTTTTTTTTTGGACAAAGACCCCCGCCAGTGATAGTGACACTGATAAAAGCAGTCACCACTGACACCTGGGGCTGTCTCTTATACACATCTAGATGTGTATAAGAGACAGGATAAAAGCAGTCACCACTGACACCTGGGGTCTGGTCCCACCTACCGTTGTTGAGTTTAGAAAACCCCACGGTGAGACGCCATTTCGACATTAATAAATTCGAAACAAGCAATAAAAAAACTTAAAAAAATGCTAGAAACAACTTTTCTCCTTATTTTTTATAACTTAACTCGGAGAAATGAAACGTGTCTGGAACAGTCGGAGTGAACGTCTCCGTGAAAAAGGGATACTCCCCGTGGTGAGGGGACTGGAGGTCACCATTTGTAAAATGGACAGGGACGACGTGGATGGCCAAATGCATTCATTGCCCAAAGAAGGAAACAAGTTTGATGCCAGACAGCGAAACACAGCTGTCAGAGTTCCTCCATTTCAGAATGCAATGAGGTCTAAAAAAACAAAAAAAAAGAAAGGCACTGCAGTTGAGAAATGTACCCTACCCTCGGTAGGGTAGTTTTCTCAATGGAAAATGGCTTCCCGCCCAAACCAAAAGGGCCAACGCATGCTACAAAACGGATTTCACGTCAAAGAAAAATTCTACTAAATGACTAAATCTAATAGGTTATTCTCCTGTATTTTGGTACCGTTAGATTCGCAATACATCAACGGCAGAGCTCCGTCCCACTATGCCACACGTGATAGAAAGCTCAGAGTTAAGAAAACTCAACGCTGTAGGTGGGACTAGACCCCTGGACCATAGTCCCACTAGCAACTGGATAGGATAGAAAAAAGTTTGTGTGGCAGTTGAGTGAGCAAAATCCTGTCATGCAGCCCTTGTGATCCCACAGTCGAGATTTATTTTACATGTATTACCCGAAAAAGTAAGGAGATATTTGTTCCCCTCCTCCTCTCCTTAAACCACCAGTACCTGGCCCACCTATTGGTCGTGGGCCTTCCCCTATACACGCCGCAGCCTTAGGGGGGTCGGCCAAGGGAAGGCCCGGTGTCGCGCCTCCACTGCTTCAAGGGTCCGGTGAGATGTCCTTCCCCGGACCGAGCTCAGTGGGTTGATGGACTGGCAGACTGTCACGCAGGATTTTTGATAGGTATAAAAATTGAGGTGTATTCAGAGGCGGTCACACTTTGTCATACAGCCGAGTATTCATGGTTATCCCTCCTGCCAGCGACGACACGGCTTAGAGTGAGGCATTCGGGTTTATCGCCTGCACCTGACCCCGTATAAAGGATAGACCTAAGGTGACCGGAGTCCCTATCATTCAGGAGTCCTTGAAGCTGCCTTGAGTGTAACCTGTGTAAAATAAGGAGGAAAATAACATACATGCATCATAGAGTAATTGACACTAACAAAATGAGAAGACCAGAAACCAGACTCTGCAAGAGTATGACCAGAGATACGAGACTGAAGAGTAGTACACAGAGTATGCAGGGAGCAACCATCGGAGGGTTAGGGTCACTAATAAATAATAATGTTGTAATACATCATAGTGACTGAAAAGAGAGAACCTCAATCAATGATAATAAGCGGTACCCCCTCATGAGTAAGTGTTGCCGTCTGGGACTCCATATCTGGCGCCTCGTCATTGAGAACCCGCGTGGCTATAGACTCTGGAACCACATAGCTGATATCGAGAGGCGCAGCTGGATCAATCTTGCAGATGTAGGCCATGCATCTCGCCATCTCCTCGTCTGCGACACTCCTGAGATAAAGCTCCTCCGCAAGAGTGATGTCACCTGAAGCTCCAATCAATATCTCAATCCGTCCTCTCCCACCAGAGTAGATGTAGGATACCTCGAGGAAACGATCTCCGTAAAGAGGCTTCCGAAAAGCCTGCATAACAAAGTCCGTCCCAACCAAATGACTATAGCCATCTCCGAGATATGGGACCGGCCCCTCCCCTCTTGGGGGACCAATAACTGTCTCGGACCTAGGGTCGTCTGACATGTAGGAGTCAATCGCCCTCAAGTAGGTACCGCGCGAGAAGATATGCGATCCTCCTCAATGCCGCTCTCCGCCGTCGCTGCTCAATCGGTCTCCAGCGCTCCTGTCACTGTCCACAAACTCAACCTCTGTGAGTGTCCCAATCGAAATAGTCACCAAGGTCAACGTCACTCACAGAGCAGGGCTCCAAGTCCGACTCATCTGTCTCTGATCTCTGTACACATGTGGTGATTGGGACCCCGAATCTGGCTATCTCTCTCTGGATCCGGTCGTCCTTCCGCCTCTTCTCCTTGCTGCGGGACTCACTAAGGGACTTGGGGTTGCATCCGTCAAAATCGAAGAGCACACCCCCAGGTGCTGAAGGTACGTGAGGGAACACCATGTATAGCCAATTGTCCCTCCAATAGCTCTCCCTGTGAAATATATAATCTGCAATCCGGTCGTATGTGGTGCCCTTCACTCCCGTCTCTGCCCCCTTCACCGAGTAGGTGATCACGAGCGTGTGTCTCGAGGTCGGGGACTCATTAGCCCTGATAGTGAAACTCTGATGTCCCACATGCCTGTAGCAGAACCTCTCAATCAATCTACCCCACGTAGGGGCAGTCTCACGACGACGGGCCAGCTTGGATAGAAGGTGCACTCTCACTAATGCAAGTACTCCCTCCAAGACCTGACCAGATAACAATCAGCAACTCAATGTGGAGGCCTGTCTGAATGGCTTGACTGAATGGCCTGACTCAACTGCAACTCGGTATAGGGCCCGCCTGAATGGGCCCGGCTGAACAGCAACTCAATATAACGCCCGCCTCAATGGGCCCGACTGAATAGCAGCTATCTCGGAGAAAAGGGCCCGCCTGAAGATGCCTGGCTGAAAACTGCAACGATCTCGAGAGGTGCGCCCGCCTGAAGGGGCCCGGCTGAACAACAATAATCTCAAGTAGGCCTGCCTGAAGGGCCCAGCTGAACAGCAATAATCTCAACTAGGCCCACCTGAAGGGCCCGACTGAACAGCAACAATTACAAGTTGGCCCGCCCGAAGGGCCCGACTGAACAGCAACTGATCAGTAGGACATCTCATGCACAGGGACCAGTCACAAATGCTGAATGTACTGRGGCTAGRCTGAGCCAGGTCATCTGTGCAGGGACTGAACTGCCAATGCTCCCCGTGCGAGGGAAAATATCATGTGCATGAGGTGTTGCTGATCAGCAAAGAAATAAATCAACGGGAGTGTGATGGCAAATCTTCCCAGCCAGCAATTCTATGCTCGGGCATACATGGGCTCGCACTCAAACGACAATATCCAGCCTGGGCGCACRCATATCCAGCSCAAGTGCACATGGGCGCGCACTCAAATAACGATATCCAGCCTGGGCGCACA